GGAGAGATGTGGATATTGAATTATATATTTTTTTTATGGTAACTTCTGTTTGTTGGTACTTCCACACTGAAAATTCATGAAATATAAATAGATTTTACATTTACGTGGTTTAAATGGGATCAAGGTCTTTTTTGTCTTTCTTGTTACTTCCTGACCATTATATCTCTACTCTTGCTAAAAATAAATAAATAAAAATTAACCTTATTCTTAGGTTTCATTTTCTTTCTCTTTACTAGATTGTCCTCATTAGAATTTGTGTTTTCAAAACATTTTAGAAACTTGGCTGTACTTCTGTCTCATTTCTTCACTTCTTACTCATTCCTTAAGCATTTCAGTTTGTGTTCTACCCTCACCATTCTGCTGAAAACAGCACTTGCTATAGTCGGCTCTGTGTCACAAAATCCTGTGGATCCTTTTTAGTCTTCATTTTACTTAATCTCCCTCCTTATAATACTGTTGACTTACTGCTTTCATCACATTTTCTTCCTTTGTCTCTAGCCAGTCTATCTTAAATTTCTAATGCTAGTTCATACTCCTTTACCTGACCTTTAAATATTATAGTATCTCAAGGTTTCAACTCTTCTCACACTACATATACTCCTTGAGCAGTCTCATTACTCCCATGGCTGATAACTGTCAATTTTTTTATCTTATTTTCCTCAGCATCAAAGGCTTATTTGACTAATGAGCCCCTCCAAATTTAGCTTATACGAAGTTGAACATAAGCACTTTCTATTCAGACCTGATTCTTTTTTTTTTTGTTTTTTTTTTTTAATTTCAGGGTATTATGGGGGAACAAACATTTTGGTTACAAATAGCGACTTTGCCTCACTCAAGCCAGGGCTAGAGGCATGCTCTTCCCCTATACAGTGCACACCACACCATTAGTTGTAAGTTTACCCACTGCCCCCACAACACCCAGTGAATGTTACTACCCTGCGAGCACCTTAGTGTTGATCAGTTAGTACCAATTTGATGGCGAGTACATGTGGTGCTTATTTTTCCATTCCTGTGATACCTTGTTTGGAGGGGTGGGCTCACGCTCTATCCAGGATAATGTAAGAGGCGCTAGATCACCATTGTTTTTTGTAATTGAGTAGTATTCCATAGTATACGTATACTACATTTTATTAATCCACTCATGAATTGAAGGGCAGTTGGGTTGTTTCCACATCCTTGCAATAGTGAATTGTGCTGCCATGAACATTAGAATGCAGATGTCTTTATTACAGAATGACTTCTGTTTCTCTGGGTAGATGCCCAGTAGTGGCAGATTCTGATCCTTCTTTAGGCGCTTCTCCTCTCAGTCACTGGCACCACCACCTGTGCAGTTCCTTAAACCTAAAGTCCAAGAATACCATTTTGATTCTCCACTTTTGTTTATATCTTATATATCTTATCCATCACCAAATTCTGTCAGTTCTACCTCCTAAATACTCTGAAATCCGTCTCCTTCTCAAGCTTCACTCCCACCATGTTATTTCAACTCACCGTCATATTATCTGAACTATACATGACTTCCTAACTTCTGTTTTGGTAGTTCTCACTACCTCTTTACACTGTTAAAAATTATTGGCCAGGTATGATGGCTTCTACCTGTAATCCCAGTGCTTCTGAAGACCAAGGTGGGAGGATCTCTTGAGAACAGTAGTTCGATACCAGCCTGGGTAACATAGTGAGACCTTGTCTCTACAAAAGTAAAAAACTTAGCCAGGTGTGGTAGTTTGCGCCTGTCATTGTAGCTACTCAGGAGGCTGAGGTGGGAGTATTGCTTGAGCCCAGGAGTTCAAGGCTACAGTGAGCTATGATTATGCCACTGTACTCCAGCCTGGGCAACAGAGTGAGACCCTGTCTCTATTAAAAATATATGTGGGGGCGCGGTGGCTCATGCCTGTAATCCTGGCACTCTGGGAGGCTGAGGCAGGCGGATTGTTTGTGCTCGGGAGTTCGAGACCAGCCTGAGCAAGAGCGAGGCCCCATCTCTACTAAAATTAGAAAGAAATTAATCGGCCAACTAAAAATACATAGAAAAAATTAGCTGGGCATGGTGGCGCATGCCTGTAGTCCCAGCTACTCGGG